CTATACAAAATCCAACAAAAAGGAAAAGTTCGGATATACCAAAATCAAGCAAACCTGTCAATAGGGAGGCACTAAACACCAATTCCATGAGCTTTGTTGAACACTGATATTTGGCTGGAAATGTAGCAGTTTACCAGTTTGTTTTGAACATGTTCTGGCGCCAAAACTGAAAGGCAACCTGCCGTGGTCCATTTTGTGAAGCAGCAAAGTTTAACTCATTTTGTAATGTTAGATATGTACTGCCAGGTTATAAGGGATGTGTTTGTAGTGGTTGTTGTAAGTTGGTATTAATGTATGGTTTAAGATTAATTTAAGTTATAATATGTCTGCAAAGTTGGTGTAAACAGTAAGATATCTGCTTTATTAATTGTGCTGTAATCTCAGTTGATTATGCAAAAAAAAATACAACTCTCTTCATTCTCAAAAAATGCTCTCTTTCTTTTCTTTGCAATCTCCGGTGTAGTAACTTCAACAAGCTTCAGTTTCCCTTTTAAGCCTATAATGTAATGCCTGGAACCAACAAAGTAAGAAATAAGAAAGGCAATTATAAATCTTCCAAGATCTTCATAAGCTTATTGAAGAACACACTTGACTAATAGGAGCCATCAAGAATATACCTAGCTTGTATAAAAAAGTCAAGCGTATGAAATTCTACAAAAAATTTCAGTTTTTCATCATAAAGCATGATAGAGTGGTAAGGTTTTTCCTTCGTTAGTTATTTTCCTTTGACGACTATACTGGGTTGTAATTATCTCACATAAATAGCTAGCTATTCGAAGATTTCTTCTTTCTCACTGATACTTCCGAAACATGGGACTATCATGCCAAAATATATCAATGAGCCTCATATTGTGACGAGTCAATATTATATATTTTCTGCCGTGCTTGACCCAATTTATACCTCCATGTTTAAAAAGTTTTAGTAATGAAGAGCTATGGTCGTAGTTGATGACTAAAATCTATATGAAACTGCTTGGGCGAACTTTGGGTGGTTAAAGAAGTGCACTCAAATGTATTTTAACCTCTCTTGTTTCATACTAAATTAACCTTCACCTTTTCAAATAAGTACTTTTATTTTAGCACCGTTTCAATTAATGTTTTAACAGGATACAGAGAGGCTTAAAACAGTCATATGCTCCCAATACTCAAATCATGTCAAACAAGGTGAAATTTGTTTATCATCATTACAAGAATATATCTAACAAACAAGAAAGCTTTGCCCTAGAAAATAAAATGAACAATGGAGTAATTACACTCCCTCAAAGATTAAATATGTCAATTTGCAATTTGCTTTCATTCATATGTTTCCATTGAGTATTTATTTATTTGATTAACAGTGTGAATTTTGCTTTTAGCCGCTAAAGCAATAAGGTCAATGACAAGGTTGTTCTACCTTCACACACAGATACCATTGAGGCATGCATTGACAAATTGCTAAATAATTGATAAGTGCTTGAAAATTCCTTTTTACTTAGTGGTTTATTGGTATTATTTGTAAAAAAATAGGTTCAAGTTGTGTGATTTGGCTTAATTATTTCATAAATGTCTTTATGGGATCACATGTATGTTTTGTCTATCTTCAGGTTATAAATGCTTAAAAATATATTTGGATGAAGAATTATGTTGGCGATGGAATTTTTGACAACTAGAAACAAGCAGTTCAAGATTTAGAGTTAAAACGAGGAAGTTATAACGTTTTGCCTTGGTATTTTGATGATATATGGAGCTGTAGATCTTGTTTAGTAATGATTCTTGAATCATTGCAAAGCTAATGAAAAAATCTACAATTCATACGTTGAAGACTTTGTCAAATTCAAAAAGCTTCGTCCAAGAAAAATAGCATCTTTGTGTGCTACGACACAAGTTTACTCATGTCGTGGCCAGGAAAGTTCTGGACAAAAATAAAATTCAAGATTGTGCCCATGCCACGGCAAAAATTTACCCATGCCATGGCACGGCGACAATTCCTACTTTTGCAGGACTTTATTAAGTTTACTTTAAAAGATTATGAAGTCTCGTCTGAATAGGATTGTTTTAAATAAAGTCTTGGTACCACTGCGACAATACACATATAGCTACGAAAATTAGCTACAGAAAGAAAACTATAGCAAGTACATATTTACAGCTACAAAAGTCAATACTTATAGCTAATTGAAATAATTTTATTGATAAGATTTCCTTCCTCGAAGCTAATATTCATCTCTTGCTTTAACTTATTAAAATCGTGGTAATAACTAGTCATTTAGCTACAATGTATTAGCCATGGTAAAACATTATAGCTAATTAATGTATTTAGCTATAAACATTTTATTTACATGACATCTAGTATCATTATTAACTACGAGGTTAACTATATAGCTATTATTTGTGCATTAGATATAAAATATTGAAATTTATAGCTAATTAAGGTATCTAGCTATACAAATTTTATTTTCATCGTAATAACAATATAGTATCATTATTAGCTACTAGTTTAAATATATAACTAGTATGTGTGTATTAGCTATAAATTATTTGAATTTGTAGCAGATAAAGAATGTGAAAATTAATTTGCTACAATCCTTATAGTATGCAACTATAGATGTTCTAATTTATCTCGTGAGTAATTATATTTTTATTATTTATAAATTAAATAATTATAGTCAAACATAGTGTTAATCACACCCCTAAGGTCAATAGTAAATGGAACTTTCAATCAATAGCTAATTTAAAAGAACTCTTCAGTGAGCTAAGAGTGTGGGCTTTTGTAAAACAAAATTGTATTGTAAAAGATCTCTGAGCTTTTTGAATTTTTTATGATAATTTAAAACTAACAATTTATGAAATATAGATGATTTTAGGTATAAGATATGAGATATTATAAAAATTCGTAATGTTACATTTTTTGTATATATAAACTTATATGTATGTTTTAGATGATGATGATGATAGCGTTAACAAAACTATTTAAATTATTTATATGTTTGATAAAAAAAAAAAATGTTTGGTTGTATAGAAGATCGGTTTTATATAAAACTTGGTGTATATATATCAAAATAACAAAAACCACCATTAATATATTTATCAAATCTTGTGTTAGTGTCTTGTCCTGTGTGTTGGTATTTTAGATTTTAGAAAGAAAAATTGGCGTCCTGTCTTGTCCTGGAGAGCATATGTAGAATGGATTTTGTCTTCACAGAATAAGGTCAACATTATAAGTTTTCTTGTTTGATTAGACGATTAGTGGAGATCCCAATCTTGATCTTGACCTGCCAAATCAATTTCTTTTTGTCTAATCTAATGGTTTAGCTCTCATCTGTCAACTTCCCACTGTTAATCTCACATTTATTCTATATTTTATTTCAAATTGTGAAATTAATAATATTTTATTGGGACTGGAACAAAAATTATGTAGTAATTACCACTTTGGGCATAACTAAATCAAATGCCTAGAACACTTTAATTAATAATAATTGCTTGTAAGTATTAATACATAATATATATAATAGAAAACCCTCCCTATTTGGGTTACCTGGATCTAGCCCGACCCAGGTCCAAATATTTGGAGCGAGACCTCTGAATGCGTCTACGTAGGCTTTAAGCCTATGCAAAGTATGAACCATATCCAACATGTTTTCTAATCATTGGTCTGATGCTTAGCCCGCTCCATGTACTCGTCTGCTACACGTTCCACGTCAATAATCAATAAGTTGGAGATCAATTTGCAAGTTCATTCTATGAATAAGAAATAAATAATTCATTATGGAGCTTAGCAATGATAGGATTTAAGTGGGTCTCATCTCCTTGTGATTTAATAAATTGTTCTCAATGTATCAATTGCAATTGATTCAAACAACTCGTGATTTAATTTACAATATCTTTTCGTATTGTTTATAATAAGAATATAAGTTTGATCATACAAATTGAATTTAGTGAATCACAGGAGACTATGGTTAGTTTGTGTAACAACCCCACCATGTAAAGATTATATATCTTATTCATCATTTATAATTCAAATTATTTATCTTAAATATGTAGAATTTAATTTTCTTCCTCATAATTTATGTAATTTATCTTTTAAATGTGAATAATTTAATAAATAGTTTATATACATTACTAATTATAAGATTAATTAATAAGATAATTTGTTTAACTTCAGTTATGATGGACCTTATTATTATTTAATTAGCTTAAGCCCATGGACCTTATTATTATTTAATTAGGTCAAGTTCGTTGTTCTTATTTCAATTAAAATTCATATTTATATTTCAAATAGGATAAAGACTATATTTTTCCCTAAAATATAAAAAGTGGCGGTATTTTTCTATCCCTTTTTAATTTTCTTATTGCGCCTTTTTTTTTGTAGGTTTTTTTTTTTTTTTTTTCAAAGCTTTTAATTTACCTTAAACATGATTTTCAAAGTATATATTCTTTCTTAGATACATTTAACTATAAATAGTATTTGGATAAATATTTTAATAAATCTATTTAACTCATTTTATATATAAAGATTTTTATATAATAATTTACAGAAGTAAAACTTTAAAAAATTGGTCTGCACAATGGTAATTACCATCGACACCGACGATCAACTTTTGACGATCACTAAAGGGCACATCTAACAACACAGTTGATGTTGCCAAGATTGGAATCTGCTGATGCCGATCTATGTAAGCTCAATGGTTTTGCTAGAAGTTGATGTGGCATTTGAGCACAGGGGGCTGATGAATATATTTCCTCTGTCTGCACTCAAACGTCGAATCAAAATCCGATAGTGGCTTGCTAGAGCCGGACAATCATTGTCAGCTTTGACAATGATTGCCATAGTGCAATCCAATTTTTATAATGTAAAAAAATGATTAAATTAATTTATTTGTTTAATTTGGTTTTTTAATAAGATTACTTTATAATTTGATATCTTACAAAGGGCTTTATTTGTCATTCTTATTTTCAACATCAGTTTTAAAAATATCTTACTAAGGGCTTTATTTGTGATGTTATACGGCAACGACTGAGGAAAAAAATAGGGTTGAAAAGACTTCAATTCGAAGACATTCTTTACAGAGGGACTGAAGACCAAAACATTCTCAGATATGGTCCATCTCTTTGCAATCATCAAATTAAATCAACATGTCTTCAACATTCAGTGGTGATAAAACCGCTCATTTCTTCGGCTTCCTCGGCGCTGCTACTGCCCTTGTCATCTCCTATAAGAACCAAAAACATATCAAATTAATCCAGTTTTTTAGTGATTGATTTGGCTTTTCGATCTGGGGTTTTAATTGGGTGTATCGCAGGTATGGTAGCTGCATAGGAAACAACAAAAAGTGGATTTAGTGTGGCAGTGATGAGGCTAGAACTGGTGATGAAGTCTATTGTGCCGGTGGTCATGGCTGGAGTGTTGGGTATTTACGATTTGATTATTGTTGTTGTTATTAGTATTAGGATTAACCCTAAGGCTAAATCTTATTGCCTCTTTGATGACTATGCCCATCTTTCTTTTGGTCTCACTTATGGCCTCGCTAGTCTCTCTACGGGTATGGCGATTGGAATCGTTGGTGATGCTGGTGTTAGGTATAATCTTTCTTTCCAATCTCAATCATCTACCTAAAAAATTAAATTGGTAATTTTTTTTTTTTTTTTTTTTAAATTTGGATTGCTTACAGTGTAGAATGGTTGATTTTTTGTAGCACTGTAACTTTGATTGGATACTATATATTGATTAAATATGTGTCGTGTTTCATTTCCTTCGTGAACTGAATGACTTTCTATTTAGAATTATCTCATTGTGATCCGAATGCTTTATGCTATGATTAAACATAGGTATTTAAGCACCGTTTGGAGCGGCTTAAAGAACCACCAAAAATGGCCACAAAAGATCAGGTCACTATTCTGATATGTCTTCTGTAAAGTTTTGCTTGTTTGGTTCATGAGTTACAAAACTTAAAATGTGAATTTCATTTAGTAAATTACAGAGGCTAGAGGGTGAGCTCTTCATATGATTTTACAAGCTTTGCATTACTGCTCTTCATTTATTGTTTTATTTGTTTTGTTTTTCTTTTCTTTTCCATGTTGTAATAAGGCTTTATGGGAAAATTGTTAATCTTTTCAAAGGTTTAACCAAAGACATGAGTGGGTGAGAGGGGACTGGTAGTTGGCTCTATGTGCAAAAGCCTTACATATTTCAATTGTGTTAATGCATAATTGCTATCTGCTTTCTTTTTAATTTTCTTCCTATGTTTTTCTTTGCATTTTGAATATATGTCATCGTTAAGGAAGATATCTTGGTTGCATTTATGCCATCTTCTAGTTCTCATTGAGTTTTTTTGGCATTTAAAATTAATGTCATGAATCTGTTGTATGCCTATTAGTGCTCTTATTTTTAGTTTGACATGATATGTTGTGTTATTTATTTATTTTTTAATGTTTTTACTGCTGAAAATCTTGATTTTTTAACTTCTGGCATATTTTCTGATGATGTGCTTAATTCTCTTCTTTTTGCAGCTTGTTTAGTGTATGTGGATGGAGACTTTGCACCAATAGTTGAACTTGTGAAAGTTCGCAAGAAGTATGGCTTTTTGTTAGTCTTAGATGATGTATCATTAAATATAATCATTATGCAATTTGCATTCCACTTTTATTCTCTGCACTCAGTCAAACAGTCAGACTAAATATTCATTTTCATTATTAATATAAATAATTATTAATTAATATTACTATTTTGTAGGTAAATTAGAACGATGCTGCAAAATGCTTGGTTTGGGCAGACAAATACTTAATACTTATCCCAATTTGTATTGACATGAAGCACATTTATCTTATTACTTTCTCAGCACATACACAAAGTCACACAATTGAGTAACAACAAGATTGAAGAAGAGCTCAAGGCGAAGATGCCTTCACTGGACAAAAAGTACGCCATGGAACCCGAGGAAGTGGGTCATGAACTACTACTTTACAGTAAGCTCTTATCATCACATGTTGAGATTCCTGAAAACGTGTTATTGGAACCTTCTAAGAAAGGGCGGTGCTGGAATGAGCTTAAGAGTAGAGGGATGCTCAAGGTGGGTAAGAGGAAGAAAGTTTAGTTCTTGAGAAATGACGAGACAAAGAAATTGTTAAAGAAGCAAGAGGATGATGTGGTTGTTATACATACAAATGGAATAGCAGTGGTGGTGGTCTCATTTTGGTTGTTAGGAACCACATTGAGGTTAATAAGAGAAGTTTTGGTGCTAGTAGTAATGACATTGAAGCATTCATATTTTGTAAAAAAAAAAAATTAGTTGATAACATTTTAAATTACTAGGATGAAGGATTTTATGAGTAGACAATTATTTGATTTAAAATGATTTTATTAATGTTTTATTTTTTATATTAGAATGTTTCTTATGACGTAATATTATTTATTTAATATAAAAATATTGCTACAAGTTTGTAATTATTATTAAATTTGTTAATTATAGCAATATTGGTTACAATTAATTTTAATCGAAGCAATAAATTATAAATTTTTTATATAAATTATTTGTTCCATTGCAAATAATTATAATATTTAGCTACAAATTAAAAGCATTCATAGGAAGTAATTTCAATAATTAGCTATTAACACACTATGTCCATAGCAAATGGATTTCATATGTAGATATGACTTCAATATGTCCATAACAAGTAATTATATTATTTAGCTACAAATCAAAAGTATTCATCGTAAGTAATTTTAGAACGACGTCGCAAAATGCTTGGTTTGTAGCAAGTAATTATTCATAGCAATAATTATATCATAGAAAGTAGTTTTTTGTAGATAAATTAGAACGACGCAGCAAAATGCTTGGTTTGGGCGGACGAGTACTTAATACTTATTCCAGTTTGTATTGATACTAAGCACATTTATCTTATTACTTTCTCAGCACATACACAAAGTCACACACTTGAGTAACAGCAAGATTGAAAAAGAGCTCAAGGCGAAGATGCCTTCACTGGACAAAAAGTACGCCATGGAACCCGAGGAAGTGGGTCATGAACTACTACTTTACAGTAAGCTCTCATCATCACATGTTGAGATTCCTGAAAATATGTTATTGGAACCTTCCAAGAAAGGGCGGTGCTGGGATGAGCTTAAGAGTAAAGGGATGCTTAAGTGGGATAAGAGGAAGAAAGTTTAGTTCTTGAGAAATGATGAGACAAAGAAATTGTTAAAGAAGCAAGAGGATGATGTGGTTGTTATACATACAAATGGAAGTTGTTATACATACAAATGGAACAGTAGTTGTGGTGGTCTCATTTTGGTTGTTGGGAGCCACATTGAGGTTAATAAGAGAAGTTTTGGTGCTGGTAGTAATGACATTGAAGCATTCATATTTTGTAAAAAAAAATTAGTTGATAACATTTTAAATTACTAGGATGAAAGATTTTATGAGTAGACAATTATTTGTTTGAAAATGACTTTATTAATGTTTTATTTTTTATATTAGAATTTTTCTTATGACATAATATTATTTATTTAATATAAAAATATTGCTATAAATTTGTAATTATTATTAAATTTATTAATTATAGCAATATTTGTTACAATTAATTTTAATCAAAGCAATAAATTATATATTTTTGATATTAATTATTTGTTCCATTGCAAATAATTATAATATTTAGCTACAAATTAAAAGTATTCATAGAAAGTAATTTCAATAATTAGTTATTAACACACTATGTCCATAGCAAATGAATTTCATATATAGATATGACTTCAATATGTCCATAACAAATAAATATATTATTTAGCTACAAATCAAAAATATTCATAGCAAGTAGTTTAATATTTAGCTATTAACACAATATGTCTATAGCAATATCTTTTTATATATAGATATAACTTCTATATGTCTGTGGCAAATAATCTTTTTATCTAGTTGCGAATTCAGTGGTCATGTAGCTAAAATGTTAATATATTTGCTATGGATATTATTTTTGTAGCAAAAATTTCAAGTTTTAGTTATAAATTTATATTTGTCTAGCTAAATGCAAACATTGCTATAAAGAATATTCTCCATGGCTATAAAGGCAAAGCTTTTGCTACAAGCTTATTATTGTTATGACAAAAATATTTAAGTTTTTAGTTACATATTAATCTCATCCATAGCAAAAACTATAAATTGTTAGCAACGTAAACAAAAAGTTACATGGCAAACAATTAGCTGCGCCACTTCTAGCTATGATAAGCTACAAAACATTACATTTATAGCTAAACCATTTAGCTACTCATGTTCATATTTTTAGCTACAATGAATGCCATGGTTAGAAATGCATAATGCAGTTGTATACCCTAGTAATATAAATAGGTTTCTTTAAGTCGTTGTAAGTGAAGAGATTCAAGTATTGAAGAATGAAAGAAAAAAATAAGAAGAAAAATAGAGCAAGAGAAATCTAGAAGAAACAGAGTAAAAGCTATCTGGAAACTGATTTTGTTATTTTTTCGTAATCAAGAACAGAACAAAACTCAAGGTGACTAATATATAATTAGCTGTTAACTACAAAACGCAACGTTTTAACATTCCATTATAAAACACTATGTATCATGAAACTTAAACACCCATTACATGTTTGGACAATATAAGACAAAACTCAGAACAGTAATTCTTCTTTAATCAACATCTTTGTAACGCCCACATTGAGGTACGTTGCTTAACTTATGCTCTTATACCCTTAGTTGATTTTTGTTAAAGCTGTTTTGAGAAAATGTGAAGAAAATGCCTTAAAATTTCATTAGGGGTAAAATGGTCTTTTTACTCAAAATTAGTTGAAATTGTGGGGAGTGAAAAGAGATAGAATTTCATGGAGAATGCAATAAAATGAGGGCATTATGGTAATTGACTAAGGGACATAGATTAAATTTTAAAGAAAATGCAAGGGCAAAATGGGAAACTATATATAATATTATGTTATATCAAGGATTGAAGAGTGAAACCCTAGCAACTCTTCATCCATTTTCACGCCACCTTCACCTTCATATTCTCTCAATTTCTTCAATTCTTCTTCAAGGGAAATCCATAGATTTTGGGTACTTTTGAGTGGATTTTCAATCCCAAGCATCCTTAGGATTTAAGACAAAGAGAGTTGGATCAAAGAAGATTTTTAAAGTGTTGGATTGCTCACATATAAGGTAAGTAAATCCTACCCTAAGTATGATTTAAGTAATATTGTGTAGAGAATTTCTTTTATGCATATATATGTTTTACATGAAGAATGTTAATGGATTTGGTGTTGAATGATGATTATAACTTATCCATGAGAAGTTGTGTTGGTGTATTTGATGTTTGATGAATGTTTGGATGAAATTTGGAAGAATTGGAGTGGAAATTTTGGAGTGTATATTTTGGACAGGTTTGGCGTTAAATATGGAGGTTTTTATTCCCAATTTTTGGTGGCTTAGAAAAGAGATAGAAGTGTAGCTAAATTAGATTTACTTTATACACATAAGTTATTTGATGAAATGTCAAAGAGAAGAGCATGTATGAGTGTGATTATGGGTTGCTTTGAGATGAGTTTGTAAATGGTAGAGAATGACATGTTTGCATTCCATATTGCATTATTGCACCTAAACATGTGAATTTAGAAAGAATTATAAGCATGAAACCATCTACATGCATACATATTCATAAGAGCATGAAAAAGCATTAAAGAATGTTAAAGAGTAAATAGAAAGAAATAAGAATATTAAAGAAGTTCAAATCTGAATTTTATTTAAAGAAGTGTAAAAAGATAAAAAGAAGAAAAGGTTGTTGCGATGGGGAACTCGTGAGTGACAAGAAGAATTTTCCTCATATGCACACCGCCATTAGTGAGCAGCCTAAGAATAAGAAAGAAGAATTGGTATAGTCTATAAGAGTGCATGTGGATGAGGGCTGTATCCAAGAAAGAAGAATACACTCACACATCCAAGGTTCCAAATCCATGCCTCAACCGAGTTTGATCGGCAAAACAATAAGACAGAAAAGAATAAGAAAGAAAAGAAAAGAATGAGAAAAAAAAAAAAAAAAAAAGAATAAGAAAGGAAAGGAAAGAAAGAATAGAAAGAAAGAAAAGAAATATTAGAAAACAAAAGAAAGACTAGAAAGAAAGAAAGACTAGAAAAGGAAGCAAAGAAAGAAATACAAAGAAAAGAAACAGAAAACAGAATAAGAAAAATAGAAAAGAAAATGCACATTTTATGCATTTGTGCATTTGCATTATATATATCCATAATACCATGCCCATTATCTGAGTAGTGGGACATTAGAATAGAGAAAGAACAAAGAGAGAAAGAATAGAGAAAGAACAGAGAGAACAACAGAGTAAGAGTAGAGAAAGAATAGAGAAGAATGGGGAAATGTGAAGTAAGGAAAGAAATTTAGAATTTAAGCAACGGAGAGAGAAGGGTAGCATAGCGGGTTTACTTACTGAGCAATTAGTGCTCACCCTTTGTTTTCAATGTTTTTGTAGGAAACAGGTGAGATGCGGGCACTTGGAACATCACGCAGCGGAAGGGTTGGGCAAAACTGTCGAGTTACTATTTTGAGACTTTATTATATTATGTAAAGTTTTGTGTATAAAGAAAATTAAATATGGGCCCATAATTTTATACTCGTTTATATGTATATATTTAGTTAGTTTTACTATTATTTTACGAGTATACTAGCTAGAAAGAGAGTCATTACAATCTTCCCTCAAGTCAAACCACTTTTGAATCTTCATTCTTCTCAACATCGTCTTGTAAACCAAACTAAACCAAAATACTTCTGATTCTTCATTCTTCTCAACATCATCCCGTAAACCAAACTGTTTCTGATTCTTCATTCTTCTCAACATCATCTCGTAACCCAAACTGTTTTACTTCTTACAAAAAACTTCAATTTCCTTTAACATTTACTCTTGGACTATTTCACCAATTTGCTACTCAGATTACTTCTGATGCTCTTAACAGATCAATTTTCTTCTACTGCACAGACATTTGATTAAGATCTTCCAATGAAGAGACCACATTTAATTTCTCTCTAAGAAGTTCAAAACGTTTTCTAGGAAAAGCCTTTATAAGAGCATCAACAATCTAATACTCAGATGCCACATATTGTACACACAACTTCTTCTCAGCTGCCAACTCTCTCACATAATCGACATTTATCTCAATGTGTTTCATCCTGGCATGGAAGACAGGATTTGAAGATAGAGCTCCTGCACTCATATTATCACACCAAAGCACAAGAGTTTTATTAATTTGTATTCCAAGTTCTTTAAAAAGATTCTGAACCCATATCAGTTTTGTAACTGCCTAACTCAAAGCTCTATAC